GTGAAATAAAATGAGAAAGAATAATTAAAATCGTGAAAAAAACTAAAAAGAAAAAAATATGATACAAGTTAAATAAAGATATAATATATACAGATGAAATAAAAAAAGAAGAAAAATAATTAAAATCGTGTAAAAGCTAAAAATAAAAAATATAATATAATAAGAATAAAAAAAAAAGAAAGAAAAAAATAATTAAAATCGTAAAATGAAAAATATAATACAAATGAAAAAAAAAGGTAATTAAAATTAAATCTAAACCTATTAAATCTATTTCAATCTTCTACATGCGAAAACCTATGATAATATTACTGCGGTGGCAGAATCTGTACAGAATTCTGCGAGCAGAATAATAAAATGATAAAATTAGAATTTTTAATTTTGTTTTTAAAGTATTATTTATACGTCACCGTGGAACATGCTAATTTAATGATAATAGCAGCATAATTTTTCAGTTAGAGCACCCTGGACACTCTAAACCAGACCCAAACCTCTGCATTGAACCTACCCTTCTTATCCTAATATCCGAATTATTCCCTCCGTACAACGGTTTCCGATTCATCAAAAAATAATATCAAAACTAAGTTCTCAAAAAAAAATTACGTAATCAACATTTTGCCTTAAATTGGCCTTACATTATTGCACTATTATGGTGTTGTGACCTGCATTGGGCAACAAACTCGTTTGGGGACACATAAGACCGGATTTTATATGTTGATATGGCTGAATAATGGGTCTCCTTACTTAGTTTCGGGTTGGGTGGTCGATCTGGTACCCTTATATCGAACTATAGTGCTCCAGAAGGGTCATTACGAGTTGGATACAGGATATCGAAAGTTAAGGAAGGTAATCACGTATCATCTCGATTCGTCACGGGCAAGTATATTACTCTAATGTTATTAATCACGTGTATTTACGCACTTCTACTTTATTAACGCTAAGGTCAAGCGGAAAGAGTTTTTATTTTGCTAGAGCATGCGCTGTATTTATACATTTTCCCATCCGAAGGGTTTCGAACCCACATCTTGGTCTCGAACCCTGATCTAAAACCTCGATTAAGGGTCTCAAACTCAGGTCTTGGGTTTCGGACCCGTGTACAATCTAATACTATCTAACTTAGCGAAGTAAAGCAATACATATAGAAGAATATTTGCAAAAAGAAAAATATAGAAATTTTCATAATAATGGTCATCCCACCAATTTCGACTAATACATCACAAATTCTATTTATTACGTATTAAATATGAGTATGTCTCATCGCCATACATAGCTGGGGCATGCATTCACCATAAATTCCGTACCTTCTGTTAAGGCGGACGCCCTGTGGCAGCGTAACTTTGGATACGTAATGGCTCAACATAACTTTGCAAAAAGACTTACCCCACGTAAACGATTTTTGCACCTAAATGCCGTAACCCTTTTTCATTTCATCTGCACATAGTAGTTCGAATTTTTCTTCCTTTTGCAGAGAATGCCTTCTCAGCGTATTCAATAAATTCTCCAATTTCGATATCTCGAATTCATCGTCAGGCACACTATTTTTTTTTTTTTTAAAAAAAAAAAAAAACTTTAATAATGAGAACGTGCTATCATTAATCAAAAAAACCATTATCAAAAAAATCATGAAAAACATCAACAAATAATCTTAAAATATTGTCAAATCTTCAAACTATGTATATGTTAGGTCGCTTTCGATGTACGTGAGTTTAAAATTTATACCGACTAAAGTATATATAGCGTACATCAAATCTTGATACAAAAAAACTTTTTTTGATATTTTCTATACAACAATGGCCTCGAATATACATTTGGAAAAAAAATGAAAGATATATAATCAAAATACAATCGTTACCTAGCCGTTTTATAAAATCCCATCAAGTAAACATGATAAACCCAGCTTTAAATTTAATACCCTTAAGATTGGAGTTATCGAATAATTGAATATTCAATCAATCATAAAACCCAAATTTGCTCTATAGAAGGCTTTTTATGTCTTTATTGTGTGTTAAATTTAAAACCAGGTGCCCAAAATCGATAGGTTAAAATGGATTTAAAAAAAAGTATTGTAAGGTTATCCAAAAAAGGGGGTCGTCTAAAGCCGTGTCAATCACGTGACCCAAAGCCAATAGAATTGTGACACGGATCAGCCCGAAGAGACAAAAAACAGCGAAAAAAGTGAAAATCGCAAACAATACAAGAAACGATAGTCTAAACCCATCTTGGTGCATTAATAAAAAATGTCGGGAAGACAATTTTACTATAAGACATGCCCTGACCTTAACCCCAAACCAACCCTTACCCTAACTTTAATTAAAAACAAAAAACATGTGACTGGACACGGCTTTAGACGTCCCCCAAAAAAGGCCAAATTGTGACATAGTTCATTTTACGAAATGCAGGTTCTTAACAAAACTTAACGCGACTAATAATAATGCCTCTTAAAAATATTATAATCTAATCAAGAAACTAATCAAATACAAAAATTGATAATTGCTATTGTAATAAAAACATAGCGAAAGTAAATGCCGGTTTTGTCAGAATAAGAATACTCTTCGTATTTCCAAATGTTGTTATATTTACCAAGGTACACTCAAAAATCATTACGTTTGTTTTTATGCTAAATATTCTTCTAACAGTTATATATTTTGAAATTTAGATTATTAAAAGTATTTAAATAAACAATAAAATATATTATCTTTTAAATATATATTTAAAAATAAACAATAAAATATATTATCTTTTAAATATATATTTAAAAATAAACAATAAAATATATTTTTATATTTTTTATTTATAAAATTTTTATTTGTAATAAATTTAAATAAAATATATATATATTTTTTCTCTTTAACTAGCCTCTTTGGGACTAAGGTTTTTATTCAGGTATTTACCAAGTGAGGGGTTCATCTCAACCCATACATTAGAGAGTATATTCTAGCCATACTTGCGTCTTTTGAGTGCCTAATTAAGTATTTACCTATTGCTAGGTTCTACACTAGATGTCATATTTATAACCCACTATTACTTAAGCTATCCAATTAAACCCTCTGTAATGCAACTCTTTCTGTATCACCATTATATCTTTACGAAGTTCCAGATTCTTACCTATATCCTTAGACCTAATTTATCCTCGAGACATCATTACTAGAGCTATCTGTACCCACAATCCGGTTATTCTAGACTTTTGGTAACTTATACCGAGTTCGAAAACAAGTACTTGTGAGTTAAGGCCGCTACCGTTACCTACTATCACCCTTATAGAGTTCACCCAAACCTCAGCACCTACTATACGGACTATACTCCATATACCTGTCATCTCAAACTTCCAATCCAGGTGGCTTGGAAGGGTTGTAACCTGCCCTTAATCTTCATGATTGGGTTCTTTTTCTCTGGTTACTCTTTGGTGGCCAAGTTAGTGGAGTGTCTTGCTAAACACTTCGGTTCTGTTCAGTTTTCTGATTTCTTGATTGATAATTCTTTATGTATTATCGTCAAAGATTTATGCTACCTCTTTACTCAGATCTTGCTAAGCAGGCTCCTGTACTTTGTAAATTCGCTAGATTTATTTAGTAGCTTCACTTGGGTTTCGTATAACTTGTACGTTGCATTACATGTTCCACTACCTTCCAATACAAGCTGGTACGATCACTATTACAGGTTCTATAATCTAATAGAATACAGTCTTCCAAATGCATTTTCTTAAATTCGAATTTTCAGTGCTAGTAGAATTCAAACTCTAGTTGTGCTGCTTGGAGGTGCGACAACTTGCCAACTTCACTAAGTCACTACACCGGTCAGAACATGTTATCTAAGCAGAAAAAAAAGTTTTATATAGAAAAAACTGAAAATTTTGACATTAATATATAGAAAACTTTTTTTTTACTAAAATAACCTTTTTTTACTCACTAACTGAAAGTTGTTTAGAGTATAATTTTATATATATTTTTTACTTTAAAACTATTAAATTTTTTTTTTTTGACAGAGTTACATTTTTAAATTGTACAAAAATTGCAAAATTTTAATTTAACTTCAAAAACATTTTATTCTTCTCTTCTTGATATATTTATTTGTAAAATTAATTTAAAGTTAATATGTAAGGGAAGAAACATCATCACAGCAAAGTTTATATATAATTCTATATATTTTTGCTATAAGTTTATATATAAAAAATTTAGTTGTGACAAATCAGTTGACTGATATGTTTAATCCAACTTTGTGTTTGCTCATGTAGTACTTTTTCATTTATTTGCATTTGATCTTGTTGGAGGATATTTTGTTGGTTATAACCTTTTCTTTGTGAGTGTCACATTAGCAATAAGTCGACAATATTTCATCCTATTTATAAACTATTTTCTTCTATAAATTATATAAACACATTTCTTAACTACTCGTACACTTAGTCAAGTATTGTAGCTAGTTAACCATAGGTCTAACTTGTTACATTACAGTTTTGGCGACGACGACAGGATCAAAAACTCTTTGTGTTATTGTGATTTCCAAAGCAATTTTTTTTTTAAAAATTCTCTTCCTTCTTGTTATTTAACCTACATATTAAACAAATTTTTATTATTTTCTTTTAGTTTATCTATTATTCTAAAATATTTTTTTTTATAAATTAGTTCTTCTCTTTCTTGTTAAACAATATATTTATATATTGTTTGGAACTTAAGGCTACATATAGCTTATAACAGTTTGATTATTAAATACTATTTCCTCTGGTTGTATTTTAGGATACATCTAAGTTTTAGTGAGTAATAATCCTTGTATAGGGCAAATTATTTTAATTATACCCGATCAGCACACAAAGGGCAATAAGTGTCATTCCATTTTTGGCTTATTGCTGTACCTTATAGTGCCTAGAAGGCTATTGAATTAAGTTCTGTTAAACACCTATTATCTATTTTATTTAAAAATTCTTTTAAAAATCTGTCATAAAAGTTAATCCTTACTAGGTTGACAGTGTCCTAGTACTCTTTCTATTATCTTTTATCTTAATTTAGTCAATGCCTAGAAACTTTCTTAAAGCTCTCTATAAATATTGTGAAATCAATTTCTTATTCGAATATTACAATAATACATACCCAACTGACCAAAAAGCAGAAGAAATCTATAACAAAGTTAGAACTATTATTCAATTATTACAAACTGGTTCTGCCTTAACTACTGAGGAAACAAAAATTCTATACCTTTACACCAAGCACTGTGGTTTTAATTGGGCTAACGGATATAATCCTAAACCAAAACAACTCTGGGACGAAGGTTATCAAATCGAACCTAACTTTGCTGAGCCTGCTCCTCCTACTACTTACTATTTAGAATTTCCAAATTCTGACAATCCTACGGGAACTATCTACAACTTACCATCTCAACCTCAACCAAACCCTTTCTCTTATACTTACTATTCAAAGCATGATCTAAATAATTTAAAACTATACGAGAAAGAATTGAATAATCAAACTTCAACTAAAGACGGATTAAACGACCTAGTTAAATTTCGACAAAACAAAGGTTTTTCTGTCTGGCTTTAAACAAAGTGTGAATGAATATTGAAACATATAAAAAGCAAATTCACAATCACGCATTTATTCACCAAACCAATAGATACTTAATTAGAAGAAAATTAGACTCTAAACCTGATCTTAGTTGTTTAATTTGTTTTCCTATTACAACTAGTATTACTCCTCCATCATTTCTTTGCTTCTGGGCTTGGTTCTCAAAACATTATAACACATCTGCCTATAATAACAGAACACTATATTATTTTAATCAAGCTCATTTAAGTAAAATTAAAAAAGAGCGAATAACAGAAAATTTTGAAAAATTAATAACCTCTATTCAATATTATAATAATACTCCAAGCAAAAAGTTTGATCAAATAGTTACTAAAGTAAATTATAATTGGGAATTAAAGAAAGATTTTCTTGTCTCTGAAACTAATTCTGAAAATAGTCAAAATGATAATAGTTCTGAATCAAAATTTACAACAATAAGTCAAACAGGAAACAGACAACATACTGGATCTCAAAATGGTAAAAGAGTAAAAATAATTGATCATATAGAAAATATGATCATAAATGAAGATAATTCACAACAAAGCGCTTGAGATACACCATTAGTAATATGAAGAGAGCCTGAACGAACAGATAATAATGGAGAACCCTCTTCAGCTGAGTTAATACAACAACTAATTACAGGATTAGGTCAAGTACTCAATAATAATGGTAACCCTAAAGAAGCAAAGCTTGTAGATTTGCCTGTCTTTAAAGGAGGTGAAGAAGATCCTATTGCTTAGTTTGAAGCCTTTAATAATACAGCTAGTGCAAATAATATGAATGATGAAAGAAAACTAAGAATAGTAGCTAATTATTTAAAAGGAACAGCTCTTACTTGGTTTAATCGTTTTAAAATAGTTTTTAATAGCTGGAAAGATTATTCTACTGTATATAATATAAATCATTCATTCAAATACCAGTTCGAAAAACAATTCAGAAGTCCTCATCGAGTTACTCAATGGTTTTACACCCTAAGAAATAGAAAACAAAAACCTGGTGAAACTGTTGAGTCTTACTTTTCTGCTCTAGAAGAACTATGGTGAAAAGTAGACCCAAATGCTAATTACCCTGATGAAGATAAAAGAAGACAATTCATGGATGGCCTACGTTCTGAATTTCATATTCCAGTTGAATCTGCAATGCCAGATGATCTATTTGAAGCTGTTGAAAAGGCTAAAGCTGTTGAAGTAGCATATTCTAAAAACAATACTCTCTCAGCTTATTTATTACTACCTGCATCATATTAACCATCATTCTTTAATCATGCTACTTCTACTGCTGAAAATGATATCAAAGCTTTAATAGCTGCCCAAACCAAGGAGTTTTTGACTGAAACAATTAAACAACTAAAGCCAATTAATGCAAATGTATCTCAGCAATCCACTAATAATAATAATCATCAAAACAACCAAAATAACAACCAAAACAATAGAAATAATCGACAAAACAACAATAATAATTGGCAACAAAATAATAACGGACCTAGAAATAATAACAATAACAACAATCATACTTGTAACCGTTGTCAACGTCCTGGACATTTTGCACGTGAATGTCGAGCCCCTATTTGTAATAATTGTAATAGGATCGGTCACATGGCTAGAAATTGTCAAATGAACCAGAACTGGAGAAATAACAATAATAATAATTACCAACCGAATAGAAACTTTAACAACAATTATCAAAACCAAAACAACAACAGACCTCCCAATTATAACAATAATAATAATAATTTCAGACCACCTAACAACAATCAACAAGTAAACCCTCCAAACAATAATAATAATAACAATCAACAACCTGGTAACAACACTGATGACCAAAGGCAAAATTTCTTGAATTATTATGAAAATCATATCAATACTCAAAATAATAATGATAATAATTTTGCCAACCAAAGGATGAACTTTTTAAACTAGAAAAGACATCTCCTGAGGGTGAGCATGTCGGTAATTCAAAGCCCTCATCAATAGAACAATTACAAAATTTAGAAAAAGAAATTATGAATTATTACAATAGTCTTACCAATGATAATGAAAATATAAATAATGGAAACAATATAAATACTGGAACTAATACTCTCGACAAAGAAAATGATATCAACAATATCTGGTTGGAGAATAATAATGATGACGAAATAATTGAAATTAGAGGATTAAATCACAGCTTAGAACAAAATGAATTAAAAAAAGAAGCTGTACAAGATGCTCTATTCTCTACTGCTCATATCTTTGGTCATGAAGTTAATATCCTTATTGATACTGGATCAAAAGGATGTGTAATTGCAAAACAATTTCTAGACCAAATAGGAAAACCAATAGATGGACCAAGTAATGTTCGAGTTGTCAACATTACCGGTAATAAAACAACTCCTTTAGGAAAAGTTAAAGATGTCCCTGTCAAGATTGGAGTCAATGAAATCAGTATTAATATGATTGTTACTGAATCACAAGAATACAATGTGGTTTTAGAAAATGAATACTTGGACCTAGTAAAAACAGTCATTGATTATAGAACAGGTCTAATATCAATAGGTGAAGGTGACAATATTAAATATATACCTATCACATGTTGGGAACGAATAGAAAAACCTACTCAGTTATATCCAATTAAATATAAATAATTAATCAATAAAGAATATGAATTGGAACTAGAAGATGATGAAGAAGACCTAAACAATGATTGATACTTCACTACTAAGATCAAAACAAATAAATACTTTTCCCAAGTTGATGACAAAATGATGCCAAATATCAGAATTGAAAATAGTGAAGATAAAAGAACAAAAGAAGTTGATGATCTATTCAAGTTAATTAAACCAGAAATTGAAGCTAAAAATGAACCACCACCATCTAATAAAATCAATATAACTAAAGATAAAACTACATTAATAGGAGCAAATCTAGACCAAGAACAACAAAATATTATATCAAATTTTTTAAAAGAAAATTCTGATATATTTGCTACTCAATTCTCTGAATTGAAACAAACCAATGTAGTTTATCACAGTATATATACCACAAATGAATACTTTATCAAACAACGAGCATATCGAGCATCTCCTATGGAGCAAGACCACATAAAAGAAGAAATTGCTAAAATGGAAAAAGAAGGAATAATTTGTAAATCAAAAAGTTCTTGGAGTTCCCCAATAGTTCTTGTTAAAAAGAAAAATGGAAAGTTTAAATTCTGTGTAAATTATAGAAAATTAAATTCTATAACTAAGAAAGATACTTATCCTCTACTATGTATCGATGAAATGTTAGACAATTTAGAGAAAGCAAAGTGGTTTACTTCTCTTGATCTAACCTCAGGATGCTGGCAAGTCAAAGTAAAAGAAGAAGATAAAGAAAAGACCGCATTTATTACAAAGTTCGGCCTATATGAATTTAATGTTATGCCCTTTGGACTTTGTAATGCACCTTCAACCTTTCAAAGATTAATGGATGTTGTATTAGAACCAGCTCTTTGGAAGTATGCTATGGTCTATATTGATGATATTAATATATACTTAGAGATATTTGAAGAACATATTAAATATTTAAAAGCTATATTTATTTTAATTAAAAATGCAAATCTAAGAATTAATACTGAGAAATGCTATTTTTGTACTAATGAAATACAATTTCTTGGATATATAATTGAAATAAATAGTATCAAATCTGATTTACAAAAGGTTAATAAACTTGAGAAGCTACCTCTACCCAAAAATATTACACAGTTAAGAGTATTTATAGGACTAGTATTTTATTATTGTCGATTTATAGAAAACTTTGCTAAAAAAGCTGTGCCTTTAAACAAATTATTACAAAAGGATGTAGAATTTATTTGGACTGAAGAGTATAATAAAGCATTTAATTACCTAAAACAATATTTAGTTACTGCACCAATATTACAATACTCTGATTATAACAAACCTTTTATTATATTTACCAATACATTTTATCAAAAACTTGGAGCTATATTATCACAACTAAAAGATGAAAAGAAACATGTAATAGCCTATGCTAACAGAACATTAACTTCTGCAGAAAAGAATTATAGTATTATTAAATTAAAATGTTTAGCAGTAATTCAGGCTATTAAATATTTTCAACACTATATATATAAAATGAAATTTACTTTAATTACTGATCACAAAGCGCTATAATGATTATTAAATTTATCCACAATTAATGACAACAAAAGGATCACTCAATGGTGATTAATCTACAAGAATATCAGTATGATATTAAGTATCATGCTGGTAGCTGAAACAAAAATGCTAACTTCTTCTTATGCTTACCTGAATATCTAAATACTGACAATGGATGAATAACAATATACAAATCTTTATAACTATTTATTTCACTTTAAATATCTACTAGACTAAGATTGCCAGCCATAAGTAATAATTATAGACATTATGGATTACAACCTGAGTTGCAACCTTAATTACAACTAATACTCAAAACTGTAAAATATTGTATATGCTATAAAATGCTATAAAAGCTGTAATTGCTATAATGGTTATAAATGCTATAATAGTTGTAAATGCTGTAATAGGATATAATTGCTATAATAAAACAAGTATCTGCAATTCTTTTTATTGGTAATCTAACTAATCTAACTAATCTAACTCTAATCAAGTTTAAAAAAAACTCTAAATAAAAAACTTATACAATCATGATTTAATATTAATAGAGGGTGTTGGATATAGTTTGGTAAATTGTGACTGGAAAGAGCATTGCCAGTGTGTTATAAGAATAAGATCAGTTGAAGTAGGCTGTCTTTTTGCTTTATCAATTATTATCTGGTCTTTAATAGTAGTTATAAGCCATAGTTTTGATTTTAAAAAAAAATGACTAGTCAAAAAGCTATAATGATTAGTATCAGGAAGGTTGTAGTAACTATAAAGTGTTCTATTGAGCTGATGGTTAGTTACTTGATCTTCAAGAGTTGTAAACCATAATGGTTTTCTTTTTCGAGGAATTTTGTGAAGTCTTGGTGCAATATGCTCTCAGCTAAGAAGACAGGAGTTGTTATAAGTTAGAAGTTGGTCTAAGTAAAGAATATGATGTTGCTGAAGTTGTTTCTTAAAAGTAGAATAGTCAGAATGTGATGAGAGAATAGATTCGAGTGATATAGAGCCTTCTTGAGGAGTATATGGGATATCATAAATTGGATTGTTGTTAATTGATATATCAAAATGCTTAAAGAGCTTGATAATCTTAAAGTTGGTTATATGTTTGTTAGAGCCATCAATAATAGGGTTAGAATGTGTCAAAATGTTTATAGATGACCAAAGATTGTTTTGAAGTTGTTGAAGACGAATTTGAGAGCTGATGCCTAAGAGATCATGATTGTTAATTTGCTTGATAAAGTTGGTAATATGGTGTTGAAGTTGAATGTCCCAGATATTGCAAATATTATAAAAGTGGAGATGTAGAAGAGTGCTTGTAGGAATAGTACAGCTTAGCTTAGCTTTGTGTTTTACAAGTCCAATATGATGTGATAGGATTTTGTTACAAGTATGTTGATCAAGAACAAGGTTATGTAGTTGATATTTAAT